CCCAATACGCAAAGTTTTTTTCTTTTTTTAATGAAATTGTTAACTTTTGTATAGAAGTAAAGGGAGTACAAAAGGTTTAAGTTTTAAGTTCGGAAAAATACTTCTAGGTTTAGATTTTAAGTTCCGAAGAATACTTCAAGCTTAGGTTTTATCCAAGGGAGAAAATACAGAGTATTCTCATGTGAGAGCAGCAAATCTTCCGGAAAACTACTCAGAATGATGGGTAAAAGTGGGTGATGATAGACCACTAGGACCATCTTTTCATAAACAAATGGATGTTGGCATATGCATGCTCTTCTGACAAGGTAATGTCTTCATAATTTGTGAAAATTAGAACACCACATATTATAATACTGTTTTTGCTATAAAAAATTATTATTACTCTTAGCTATCTGATGTGAAATCGAATAAAATCTGGATAAGAGTTTTTTATACTCTGAGCAAGGTTAATAGCATGATGCCAACCACCCACATCTAATGGGGATGGTGAAAGTGACTACTGGCAATGCTAATTTTCCAAAAAAAACAAAAAAAAACACAATTACACAATTTTGAGCATAGGCTTGGCCCAAATTTTAGGCCCACAATAGAAAGCGTATTGCTTTCGCATGAAATCCAACTTATCGATGAGTCATACAAACCTCCAAAGAAGTTGCAAGAATAAAAAGTAAGCAATATTTTGGAGATAAGCATGAGAAGTTTTTTACTTTCATAATTATTTTTGCCAACTTCATAAGATTGAAGATAGAACCTCAAATTTTTCGACAAACAGATCCAAGTGGTTAGAAACTCGAAATGCAATCAGGTTTTCAAGCATGCGCCTTGGTTTCGAAGGATTAAGGACTCAAAACAACCGAGTCGCTGTAAATTTGTTTCCACCTCAGATGCATGAATATGAAGATTTAAAAACAGTGTGGATCTGATGATCTTTGAATAATTACAATGAAACGGTTCAAATCCAAAATCCATATCCATGATAGATTTTGGGAGGGTGGACTCAATGTAATAGGTGCATCACCTAAACCTTAACCAAACTTATTTTCCCCTTTTATTTTTATTTTTTTTGGACAAAGTACCCAAACTTAATTTCACATATCATTATCCAAACCTGACCAATCGCCACCTCTCCTACATGAGGAGTATGAAAACAAGGGCTTCTCTTTCCACCACGATCTCCAAATGAAGCATTTCTATGTATGTGCAAATGCATGCATATCTACACATATATATGTACACATAATCGTCCTCTCCTCTCCTCTCCTCTCCTCTCCTCTCCTCCACCTATGTTCAAAAAATCGGCTCGTTAGTAGCAATGTTACTAGATTTGCTTTTGGAATCTTCTTCAGTTTGGTGAAAAAAATGAAGCAATTTGGTGCTTTAGCCGATTCAGAAAAAGACTTTGGATTTTTTTTTAAAAAAACATTTATATAGCTATTTTTTTGTTGGCCGAAGAAGATTCGAAGCAAACCCGAAGCGATCCGAATTTGACCGAATCAGCGCCAATCTGACCGAAACGGCAACACCAAGCTTCGCTTCTCTTCGGTTTATGTCTAAACTTCTTTGGCCGAAGCGAAACGAATTTGATAACATTGGTTAGTAGCCAAGGCGAGTCCAAGTGTACTCGCTCGAGCAGTGTACAAGTGAGATTCCACAAAGAAAGGGAATCGTCTTCCATGAAAATATGTTATTAGAAAAACCAAAAAACCAAAAAGACACACATGATTTAATATATATATATATATATAGAGGGAGAGAGAAAGAAGAAAAAGCTTGAGTGAGCCCACTAGCCTATGGAATAGTACAAGCCCAATGGCCCAGACTGAATCTAGACCGATCTGACAAACACAGATATCTAGTAGTGCTTGAGTTCTAAATTTTTTTTTTTCTACAAATCCAAATCACTTGAAATTTTAAACGTGTGTTCTTCTCATCAAGCCACACCTAATAAAAATATATAAAAAATAATTTGAGAAAAACAATTGACCAAAATACCTCCAAATCTTTTTTAATGTATTTTGGTCAATTTATTTCATGTAAAATAATTTTTTGATATTTTTCGAAGATTCATCTATTTTTTATGACGCAAGCTCCAAATTTCAAGTGATTTGGATTTGT